TACATGCTATGATGTCCCAAGTTACGATAAAAAGATCCGCTGCAGGCATATTCAGAACGAAACCGACATAGCTTTGGACTGAGGGTTTAGAGCGTCAGAAAGCCACTCAAGATGGAAAAGCCTATGAGCGCAGGAAGGCCCAAGTCCTAGCTGCCTGGGATTACCTTGTTTACGGGTACGCCGCGGTGAATGGGTTGCTCGAAATATTAGGTACCGGATATCTTAGTGTCGCTTTTCTGAGTTCAGGAAGTTTTGGGGCCGATTACTATGGAAAATCAATATCTCAGAAAGTCCTTTTTGCTCATTAATACTGCGAAATATGTTGCTTATTGTTTTCTATTGTTGGTTCACAATTTAACTTTCCCCCAATTTTTATACTTTTTTGAAAATTCCCTGGGTCCAGTGTGCAAATTCGCATGTGTGTACCTAAATGCTTCAAAATTCTTGCTGAGAAGCATTTAGAATGCTCATTGGTTTTTCACAGTTTTCTCAAAAGACAGTGGAAGTTTTTGAAGTGATGCCCGCAATCGTCGTCAAAAAGGTGGCCCTAGTTAAATCAGTCGAGACGGGGCTGCACCAGTCTTGTGCTGAAATGGTAGGACACCCTTAGCAGTGACTGATCGATGATGCACAAACGCTTTAACGAAGTTGATTGCACAAGAAATTCTAATAAATGTGCTCATCTGCTACTCACGTGTGCTCAAAAAGGGTGCGTTTTTGACCCTATGTGGCAAAAAAGACTCCGGGAAAAATTGTCCAGTTGAGCTGGTAAGTTATAACTTTTCCACCATACAGTGCAGACCCTACTCTAACTAACTGTATTACTTCTTTATACACAGGCTAACATTTTCACTTAGAGGTGATTTGAATTAGATGACTGTCGAACGATGTACAGCCGCTTTTGCGACCAAAAAATGTCTTGCTTTAATCGTACGAGGCTTTCACTCACCTGGTAAATGAGAAAAGTGCTAGTGCGTCATTCGATGAATATGCTGTTTCACTCCCCGGACTCTCAATTAAAATATTGGTGGTCCGAAACTCGTGGTGAAAAAACGACACTAAGATATCCGGTACATAATATTTCGCCCTTTTTGGAGGCAAACGCCGGCCAATATTCAGGAGTATTCTTGTCGTTTTGTTTATTAGGCCTCAGGAATAAAGCTGTGTTTTCCTATTGTCCTTTTGTGGCTGTATAAATATTCCATGATCACCTTATATAAAACTTACCGATTTGTGACCCTGTATCAGATGGTCGCCCACTGCAAAAACTGGCCCACTGCAACAAGTTTGAACGTCGGCTTCATCAACTTATATCATTTTACCAACAATATTCACTTTAGGGCAGCAGTGGTGTAGTGCCAAGCGGCGCTTACCACGTGGCGGTCCAGGGATCAAATCCTGGGTCGTGAGTTCGCCCGGGCCAACCAAGCCTTCCATCCCTCCGGGGTCGGTTAATTGGTACCAGACTTGTCTGGGAGGATAAAAACACTGACTTGTACATCGGCTGGCCCCCGCAAGTCATTGTATAGGCCACATCGCATTCAAACGCCACTGCGAATGTACAAATGGAAGTAGAATGCGTGCCGCATCCCAAAAAGGGATTGATCAACGGCAAATGCTTTATCCTTTATCCTTTATCAATTATTCTCTTAGCAATTTCACGCTTGGCATAGGAAAAAAGGTGCTATTGGAATCATTTTTATTTTCAATAACGTTTAGACATGTCTGCCTAATCTAAATACCGCATTAAATCTGATTTTACATAAATATGCAAATCTGCCGCGTAGTATCACATTAGTCTATTAAAAGATTACTTGAATCAATGCCAACCTGAAATTCAAAACCAATTCGACTCTGTAAATTTACATCTATGAATAATTTGACAGCATCCTTAAGTCATCCTCGTCAAGCTCGATTTACAATACTACGCACCCTATCATCTCATCATCAGCTATGAACATAGCAAGAGGTATAAAATAACTTTTTTTTTAACTGGTCCGGACTTATACAAGTTCCGCCCTAATATGGAAAGTTACACCGCGAGAGCGAGAGGTCATAATCAATGGAACATTGGAAACAATTTGAAATACGAGTCAAGGCTAAGTGGAACTGATTATGAGGGCAATCAAAGACTGGTCATGGCCGGTTGTTGGAGGTCATGTTTTTTACCAAACAGCGAAGTTGCCAAGAGAGAGAACGGCCGGTCATGTGACAGGCACCCATTGCGAGAACCACACTTCGTGTTGAACGATTTTCAACATTCTGGTGAATGAAAATCGACAGGTTCTCTGTGGATGGAGGATCACATATTGGACATCATTCTCACAAATTCTTCGTAGTCAATTTCACCGTTTCCTGAATTATTGAGGTAAAAAGGTAAAAAAAAATGGCAGAGCTGCAATGCCGTATTCGAGACTGTAGCGCTGTCTTGTTGTTAGGAATTAGGGACGAATGTCGGGCTCAGCAAAAAATACTCGGAAAGAGCTCAAAAGTTCATCTAGAAGAAATTGTATGAACAGAGCTAGTCCGAGACACAGTAGTGGTCAAAAGTGGTCGTTAAAGCGATTTTTCGTATATTTTTTCTCTTAGAAAAGATTCAATTGTAGGCTGGGACTGGTTTTCTATGGAAACGCTCAATTCGTAACCGGATTAGAAATTGCTAAAAGACATAAAATTCGGGCGTGTAAGAGAGAACAGATAGTGCACGAAAAACTGCTTCGTGAAGCCTTTGACCCGCTTGTGCAGCTCTACATGTCGGATGTTCTCGGGAATCTGATTTTGGTAGGACGAATCTTGAAAAATATGAACCTTGCAGCAGCGATCATACCCCTAGAGGGGACGTTCAAAACAGGTCATCCGAAACCGCTAGGTCAACCGAAAACCTAGTTGGTGACCCCATGAGTTCAAGAGATGGTGTAACACCATGGAATGCCAACAGGTTTGCTCCGTCTCTCACCCTCCCCCCCCGGGATCCCTTCCCTTCCTAAAGCTCAGAGCTAAGTTCTGTTAGAGGCTCATTTGCTCCAGCGTCTCCCCTAACGACATGAGCGTCCCTTGCACCGATTTGAAATAACGAGAGGAAATACGAAACTAACCATCACAGTCGACTTCATGCATCATCTCGTCCACTTCCTCCTCACTAAATTGCATACCCATATGGACCTGTAACAAGCTAGAATGAACTGTAGAAGCTGCAGTTGATCACTTAATAGTTTTAGTCATACGTAAATAGGAGGCGAATGAGTTCATGTACATGTGGGGGGGGGGACCAAAAAAAAGGTCACTTTCATTCACATTCGAAGCAATTAATTACACTTTGCCGGAACCAAACGAATGAGCTTCAATTGCGTATTGAAGAGCACATTCTATTCTATCAAAAAATTTACATAGGGGCTTTCTACACCAACGACATCAGGAGATTTCCCACGGAAACATGGTGCACGGTACGAGCTAAACAGGGTAGTCGAGAAACCCTGGAAAAACATCTTTGAGACTGGTCATTCAGCTAGCTTGTATAGTGCTAGTGCTAGTGCTACGCTAGTGTCCGCTAACAACATTTACCAGTTATCAGATTTTGAAGATAATTAATGTTAATTATGTTCAAATTGCATGAAATAAAATTGAACAGCGAAGTCCTGTCCTTAATGTCCGTTGACTTATCATGCCACTGGAATAATGAATACTACAAACTCTAACTCTCTCTGCTTGCATATGTTCCATATGAGACATGGAACATCGCTCTCAGAATGTCCCCGATTCGAGTCTCTAGCGAATAAAGCGACCTCTTTGGCACATTCCAGCTCTGCGAGGTAGAGCTGCTGGCGCTCTCTAGAAGGTGAAGCGGATGTGGCTTTATTTTAATGTTTATCAAGGGGCCGGGGCGGGTGGCAGCCAAGGCCTCAACTTCAGATGGGCTCCCTAAAAACTGCATCTCTACTCTGGTCGATCACGCAATCTCATTGTCAAGGGTAGGGGGAGCGTTCAGAGATGCAGAGTTTAGGGGACCCATCCCAGAGTTGTGCCTTGTGGCACGCCCCAGTGATGGAGGCAATGAGGCTCTGTGAAGAATCTATTAAAATTACAGTAGCGCAATGATCGTTGATCTGGAGGTTTTGCTGCCCCTCCTCACGCAAAGTCTCATTATTTTCACACGTTTCTTCTGTATGTGCTAAAATGTGGTCAATATAAGCAAAGGTATAGGCACGACCAGTGAGATTCCTGTTCAGATAACCCATGAGCAGAACAACCTCTACGTCAAAGCGTCGAGTTGAATTTTGTAGGGTTAAGCAAGTTTCGCTCGGATTTTTGTCGCAATGGACCTATCACGTACAAATAGCCAATTTTCGGTCGCAGTGAACCTATACGCTATAAAGGCAAACAGTCGGGCTCTCAATAGGGGGTTTGTGTGTGGATGCGAAGTGGAACGACAGTGGAGAAAAAACTGAGAAAAACCGTAGACAAGGCCGTTAACAAAACCCTCTTTCCCACTAGCAGTGAAGGAGGCTGGCTTGGGGAAAGAGGCACGTACAAACAAGTTTTCTGGAGATGTCAGTCGTTCTATCGGTTGATACGGCAATCAACCTAGCTGATTTCACACGTTATGCCAGCCACGCACCACTTCCGGAGGTGGGCGGTCCCGGATTGACGAGGCGGTCCCGGATTGAAACCGACGGCCCCGGGGGCTTAACGACGTTTTTCAAGGTGGGAAGTTGCTGCAATGTGTGCAGCTACCCACATACAACCTCCAGGCACGGGAATTACTTCTCTAGCGTGCTGAGCCCGACCTTTGCCTTTAAGCAGTGTGCGTTTGAAACACCCCCAGATCGAATTTGTGGGGTCACGGCGGTCGATAATGAAGTTGTGGATACCGAACTGACTGAAAGTGAAAGAAGAAGCAAGGAAAACAGTCGATGAGGTCCGAAACATAAAATGCCCTTTGAGGATGGTACCCGACCGAGGTTGTACAAAATTCCTGCTCCCCGGCTCATTAACCGCGCATATGCCATATTCGCCGCTTACGCAGTTTGGATGTAACCTCTATAGCGTTTATTACTGGCAAGTTTAACATTTTTTAAAACTCGTCGAATTTTAGTGATAGTATGTAATGGGGGTCTGTTCAGGAAAATCCGAGCGAACCCATTTAAGACCAGAATTGACTCTATTTTGACGTTGAGTGGGCGTGAGCATGTATGCAGGGATCTAGGAAGCTTCGAAGATTAGTCGTAGCAAGGAGTCGTCAGGGTGTGCCAAGCTTTTTTCAAAACGGTTTCTTGCATGACATTGGGGTACATGTGGGAACCACAACCATGGTCCGTTTTCTTGAACGACCCTCTGAATACCAAGAAAGGGGGTCCCTATTTAGATTCCTCGTGGTGACAAATTTTTGCAGTTCGAGTCGATGTTCCAAATTCGTGCAAAATAAAGTCAACATGAACAGTGCATGTCATATTCATAATTATGACGTCAGTAACCACGTCTGTCCCCTACGAGATTCAATAGGGACCCCCTTTTCTGGAGATGGCCGTTCAGGAAAAAACGGGCCATGGTTCTGTAGTTCCCGCATAAGCCCCTAATATCATGCAAAAGACCGTTTTGAAAAAGCTTGGCACACCCTGAACGACCTCCCTTGTAAGTGCTGACATGTAAGACCCTAGCGCCATTGTCGCGCACTTTCGAGCCGTGCGGCGCACCTGTGATACTCATAGGCTACTCTATCCCATCCACCGATAGATTCGTCGACACTGCTTCTGCTAGGGTGTTGCTTTAATTGTGCTCTTCGCCTTAGAAAAAGGTTGAGTTTATGTAGATACGGACTTGACGTAAGCGGATATTAACTATCAACACTTGTTTAATGATTACAGACGGTCGTAGGCAAATTAATCCGAAAGGGTGGGGGGGGGGGTGATAGGGTGAGGGAGAGGCAGGGGGGATCTACTAGGATGCTCATCATTTTTTTTTTGATCGGAGCGGGATGATTCTGTTTAATAGGCAGTATCTCATCTCCTCTCTGAGATGCCGTAAGTCGAATAGCTTTGAAATGATGCACAGTTGCCTTACTTGTGCTACTGCCAAGTAGATTATTTTCGGTAGAAGAAAAAGGGGTGAAGGTCACAAGAAAGAGTTCAAAACATAAAGAACTTACCATCGAAACTTGAACTCGTTGGCTGTTATTACGCCGTTTCCATCCTTGTCAAAAACTCGGAAAGCTTCCCGAATCATCTCGGAATCTGTCTCCTTTCATGATTCTGAATAAAGAACCGTGTTCTTGAAAAGTGTCTATACATATACGGTTTATCAGAAAGGGGCTCTCATCTTGATTTCTACCACCAGGGAACTTCTACTATTATTATGATCACGTTGTCAACTAGGAACATGCAAACTTCTCTGCGTACCTGCTTTACCAAGCAACAGATGGACGTCTTGTCTTTGACATCAGTTTTTATGCTTTTAGCATCAAAATAGACTATCAATGATCTGGAGATAAATTACAGCTCTCTCTAAGTATATTTATTGTCCAAGAGCGGCGGTCCGGATCAAATCCTGGGTCGTGAGTCGCCCGGGCCAACCAAGCCTTCCATCCCTCCGGGGTCGGTTAATTGGTACCAGACTTGTCTGGGAGGATAAAAACACTGACTTGTACATCGGCTGGCCCCCGCAAGTCATTGTATAGGCCACATCGCATTCAAACGCCACTACGAATGTACAAATGGAAGTAGAATGCGTGCCGCATCCCAAAAAGGGATTGATCAACGGCAAATGCTTTATCCTTTATCCTTTTACTTCTGTACAATGTGTTAGCGGTTTATTCAGACTTTTTGAGAGGAATTCATTTCTTGAGAGAGGTAAATAGATCATAGAATTCCTAAGATTCGTTGTTGGTAAGAGCTCTTAAAGGCACACGCTCCGCGATCAGGCGGGCTCGCCTGTTCCATCCAGGGGGTAGTAGGCAGGTGGACAAGTGTTGATGTCGGGCCCCTTTTGCGGCTTGAAAGTACGCGACAAAGGCGCAAGGAGCTCGTCCAACCCGCAACTCACACCTTCGTCCGCAAGCCCCACCCTTCGCTGTCGGTTGCCACGTGGCGCTGCTTGAAAAGCGCGGGCGCATTTGAGGCAGTGGTCCCAGCGCGATCCAATGTTATTGACACTGGAGCAAGTAGAGTTAGGTTCGTGAAACTCGTCCAATTCGCCTCTTCTCTATCCCAAGGTGGAATGTGGCTGAAATAGGGGAGGTCTCTGTACGGGGCGTAATCGGTGGTTTCGTTTGCTTTCCTTCTCTTTTACAGACCACCTCCCACCTATAGCTTCATAACTGAACGCTTTTCCACACCTATTTTATCCCGAATCTTGCCTTTAAGGTTTTTCATTTATTGTTTTTTTTGAAATGAAACCCCTACAAAAAGCTTTATTCGACAGTTTTGGGCCGTAAACCATTCTCCAGGTCTACGAAAGCATCCTTAACTTGCGCACGTACACAAAAGAATAAATCATATACATATGATATATGTACATACGTATATGTGTGCGCCCTATGTATGTTTGTGGATGTAACATTTGTAACGATGTAACGTTTATTATTGCAGTTCAATATTTATAAACTTTCGAATTTTAGTGATATATAGTGGAGGTCTATTCGGGAAAATTCGAGCGAAACCGTTTAGGACCAAATTGACTCTATTTTCCTGAGTATTTAGGAGTGTTTGTTCGCGTCCATCACGTGACAAATGAATAGCCAAGAAATTAATTTCCTATGCAATTCTAAAAGCATCCCAAAAGGGGCCAAGGGACAACAACCTGTAACGCGCATTAGAGAGGCATTTGGTCCGGTAGATGTCGTCTTCTTTGTCTTCGCTTTCTTTAGATGCTCTCTAGCCCTTGGCATTTTTGTCCTTCATCGCTTTTTACGACGCTCTTTTATTGGAGGCTCAGTGCTCCATTGCACTGTTACAAGCCCCAGTGGGGGTGAGTTGGGTCAAAAACATGATTTTCGCTGAAACGTCTGCGCCCTCGCACTAATTAGATCGCAATCAGGACTAAGCCTTTGAATAGTGGAGGGCTCCAAGTAGGCCACTTCCCTGTGGTCTGACACACTCCAACTTTTGCCACACGGTGCGTGGTTTACCCACTCCGGAGTTTCACTCCCCTCCCCTAAGCTTATGCTTAGTCTTAGGCGCTGTAGGTGAGAAAGCTCAGAAAAGCATTAAACGGAAAACATGCATTAAACGCTACGAA